GGGAGCACCCACGCCCCGCCCTGCCTGAGCCCCGAACACGGGCCAGCCGTGCAGAGCTCACGCGCCATCTCGCCAGCTGAGTCCCCTCCACGTTCAGAGGAAAATCCCCGCTAACCCGCTGTGCGCCGCGCCTGTTTGCGGGAGATGAGGTGCATTAACGGAGTGAAGGCAGGGGCTCGCAGGCTGCGAGGGGAATGCTCCACCGGGAGGCTCCAAGAGGGAATCCCAGGGCAGGAGCCGCAGCCCCAGCACAGCCGAAAACAGAGACCAGAGTGACAGAGAGCAAAGCAGAGGTTCCCTCTGCGCATCAGCACCAGAGCCCCCGGCTGTGACACTGATACTGGTGTGCGCGTGTGTGGCCACCCCTGAGTAGGCGCCTGTGGGCTGGCATGCGCCCCTCTGTGCAATCTGAATAGAAGGAAGGACGTGCACTTAGCCGTGACCCCAGACAGACGGAAGCCTGTTTTCCCAGTGGGCCGAGCCCAGGGAAGCCACGTCTGTGATGTCCTAACCGACTGTGTGGACCAGAGCTAGAGCTAAGTTACTGATAAGCGCATACACTGTCAAAGCGGGAGGCAAGTTTAGAAATCTTCCTATATTGTAAAATCCCCTTATTTTATAGATCAGGAAAACAAGGCCCAGAAAAGACAGTCACTTTCCAAGGACACACAGCTAAGGAGTAGGCCAGGGCTCTGGGCCACGCTTGGCGGACTTTGACAACGCCCGGGATGGCTGCAGGACCCGCTGCTGCTCACAGGCAGGCTCCGTCTCACTGCTCGGCAACGGCAGTAGGACACCACTTCTGAAGGAAGGCCACCGATACTCAGGCCCAAGTGGCACATCAAAGAGTCACTCTGGTTGTTGTGTTCTCAATGGCTCATGATCCCTCCCCTGAGTCTAGAAACTAAGTCAGGGCGGTGGAGTGTGGTCCAAGTGGCTCAGATCTCAGAAAGACAGAGAGAAAGTAAGTGACCCTGAGGACACATCAGCGACCACACTGGATTAGCACGGCAAAGCCAGGGGTTTGGAAAGCATCACCCAAAGGAGGAATCCCGCTGGCCCACGAGAGGAGGGCAGGCGGCTCGATAATCACAGCATCCCCCACGCCCGGCCTGAATGAGCATGCGCCTGACCCCACCTGGCTTGACTCTCGTGTCCCAGGGCTGTTCCACGGCTGATCCCAAATCCAGGGCAATGCCCCCCCCCCACCTTGATCCCACCAGGTCCGCTCCAGATGGGACAGTGAGGTGAACAGAGGTGGGGAGGCGGGGAACCTCCTGCTCAGCGAGGGCCGGGCACTGTGCGCAGCATGTCACAGAGAGCAGCCTGTCCACAGCCACCGCCGGCGGGAAGTCGTCGCTACATCACGGGGGAGCAAACCAGGGGTGTGACAGGCTCCAAGGGCTCCCCCGGGGGTCATGAGGATAGGCGTACAAGACAGGTGATTGCCAGCGTGGACAATTTGGCTGGGGACAACAAACAGCAAATCACATAAAGCAGCGTTCACGCTTTCTGCAGCCACACCCCTCTCCCCGGCTCCGGCCCGTGTTCCATGCCGAGCCTCCGCAAGGCTCCGGTCTGTTGTGGCCCTGGTCCTCACGGCTTGTCCTGCTCCGTGGGTCCTGATGTGACCCACCTTTAGGCCAGACTGTCGAGGGGAGCACGCCGGCTCCCGTCCCCACACGGATCTGGTCCTGCCACCACCTTCTGTGCCTTGCCCTACCTGGGAGCCACCTTTAATACCCAGGACGACCATCGGTGGGGAAGGCTGCTTTGAGGAATGAGATTGTTTGTGTGTGTGTCACTGAGGGGGTTCCCTGATCCAACCCTGCAGACTATGCCACAAGTTCCTTAAGGAAGATGTCTGAGAAAATGACAAAGCAGGCTACTTAAAAGGCGTTTATATGGGGGAGAATGAGCCCCCACCTCTCTTCCCATCTTCGTCTCTCTCACTTAGAGGGAACCCATAAACGCAGCGAGTTTCACATTCAAGCTTCAGGGAGAGGAATAGGGCCCTGCCAGTGTCCAGCGGGGCCCTCGTACAGAAGTGCCGCAGAGCTCGGTATGACATTAAACTGACAAAGGACACTGGAGGCATCAGCTTCAGTTGTTCACAAGAAGAACGGGTGTGGTTCTCAGCTGTTAGGCAAAGTCAGGGGCCAGGGTGGAGTCCATGTAGGAACTAAGCATCCAGTGGAGGCCCGGACTTGCGTGTGAGGCTACTATGCAGAACTGAAGACTGTTGTCAGTCCGAGTTCAGAATCTGGGCTTGTTAAAGGGCATTTGGAAAATTCTGCCTCTTGTCCTGTCCGTGACCAAGTGATTGTCACTAGAAAGGCTGTCCAGTGCCCCAGGGATCGGCCCTAGCAGGAGGAGGGGAGGTGAGCCAACCTGCAGGGGATACTGCTGGTGCCCAGCCTGGAGCCCCCTCTGCACGGATGTGCCCCGTGAGTGTTGACCACTAATGGTGCAGGAGCCTTGCCCTCCACCGAGGGCAGCTGCACCCCCTAGAAATGACCCCCACACTCATCTCTTCCGCAGGAGGCAGCCCACAGTCAACCACTGAACCACAGGGAGTGTTAAGGCAGACCCTTTCCCTGAGGGTAGGGCCAACTCTTTGACGCAACTTGCACTCTGGAGCTCTTGTGGGAGCAGACTGGAGCTATTATAGTTTCCAGCTGACACCACATTCTTGCTTAGCATTTTTTCTCTGCCTTACCATAGTTCCCTCATTCTGCTTATTTTGAGATTACCCCCTCCACCCAATAAACTGTTTGTGCAAGAATCCTCAGCTCAGGTTCCACCTGCAGGAACCTCAACCAGAGGAAGAGGCCTGGAGCTTTGTGGTCAAACACACCACATGGAGATGTAGCTTCCAATGAGCCTCGGCTAGCCCTAGGCTGGCCGCTGGAGGACAGAAAGAGAACGGAGCATGTCATAGCACCCATTAAATCCTGGAGGTCTGACTTGACTGATAAAGCTCCACAGTTTCATGTGCTTGGTCCTTTGCATGCCTGCATTTCTGCTCTCCCCAAGTCCTCAGGAGCCAGTCTCTGCAAGGACAGTTAATTTCACTTGCTCACCAGATTCAAGCACAATTAGTCACTGGGTTCACCATTAGTTAATGGCAGGCAGAGCTACCAGAACCATCATTTTACCTCTGGGGAAGGAACAAAATAAATAAAGGCTTAGGAGAAAATCTGAACCCATGGTGGCTGTTGTTTGCATCTGAGCAGAGGCACCAATTTGTCAGCCCCTGTGTTTGGACTGCAGATTCTAGGCTGCCTGATGAGTTTGGAATGCATGACAGATCTTCTCTGATAAACTCAGCCGGGCAATCTGGCCCCTGAAACAGCCAGAGCCTCTTAAGTGCTAAACCTGGGATCTATTTCAAAAACAAAATCTCAACTGCCATAGTGTTTAACAGGACAGGAGATAAAGTGGAACTAGGGCAGGTGAGTTTTAATAAGACCAGAGTCCAGGTGTGATGGCTGCCGGAAGGCCAAGAATGGCCACCCAGCCAGCGTGCCCAGCCCTAAGTGGCCAGCAAGCAGGGGGGTGGGCTGAATCACCCCTGTGATTCAGTTGAGGGGGGAGTATGAATCAGAGCTCAGTAAGTTCCTGGATACAGCGAGAACTGGGAATTGAGAAGAGGGAAAGGGAAAAGGCAGTGACTTTGATGGAGCACCCGCTGTGTGCTAGAGGCGTTCACGGAGCTGTCTCCATTAACCTTTCAGCAGCATTGTGCAGAAGGGATTCACTATCTGAAACTCATTCCTATCTGAAACTCAAAGGAAGCAAAGCTGAGGAGATACAAACCCACACCACTTGAGTACCACAGTCTACATGATTTTTCCCCACCAGGGTTTCACTCTCAATGTTTTCTGGAACCTTAGCTGGATGGGGCCTTCCCTGGAGAGAGCGGAGCCGTGGGTCTGAACCCGCGTCTCCCCTAGGAAGCGTTTATGAACTGAGCTGTGGATGAAAAGTAGAACGTTGAAGGCAAATAAACTACAAAGAACTTTCCATGGAGCAAGACCAGCAGGAGCAATGACGGGAAAAAGACACGATCCCTATTTAGTCTGGTGAGATTAAAGAGAAGTGGGTTCATAGAGCTGTACGTTGGAACACAAAACACAAGACACCTGAGAGAGCCATGGTGCCAGGGCCTCCTCCTCCACCAGGACTGCACTCGAGTCTGCAGAAGAAAGGATTTATCTAGGACACGTGCGGGCAGGACGTTGTTTCTAGTCTTTAGTTATTGGGAACTCAAAGGTCAAGAATCCCATTTCTCCCCGCCAGCACTCCGCCCGCACCCGCACCCCCGCTCTGAGTTGGCCACGCTGCGCCAGGCCTGCATGGGCTCCCTGGGAAGGATGGACCCACCCTCAGGAGCTCTTCAGCCGAGGGTGCCGTGGGGCCTTGCCAGACACTGAGAGGACTGATCACCTTACAGGCCAAGGAGCCCCAGGAGATAGCCTCAACTGGCATGATTCAGCGGAGAAGTGATTTTTTAATATATCCTAAAGGAAAAGATCACAGGCTGGACACATGCGCTACTTTCTCCTCCTCCAGCCTCCTTCACACACATACAAAGAGAATTACGGCCCCAGGCTGTGCTTCCCTGTGGCCTTTTCTCAGGCCCAGGAACAGAAATTGTTAACTGGGAAGAGTAGACTTCTAGAAGGTCCAGTGCCCAGAGACGGGGTCTGGCGCTTGGCTCCTTCTGTGGTTGGTGGCCTGCAGAGAGGTCTGATGTCCCAGGTGACCTCAGCACCTGTATTCCTGGTTCCCTTCGCCACTGGAGTCTCAACCTTATTTTCATTTTCTCTGATCGCTTTAGAGCAGGGGTCCTCAAACTTTTTAAACAGGGGGCCAGTTCACTGTCCCTCAGACCGTTGGAGAGTGCACACTGTGGGCCCGGGATGAGTCGGCTGCTAAGCAGGACAGGCAGCGATGGCAAAAACACCCAGAGGGCCTAGGTGGCCCCCGTGTGGCCCGTGGGCCGTAGTTTGAGGATGCCTGCTTTAGAGGCTTTCTCCCCTCCTACTGCTACTGCCTTCTCTCCCCGTCCTCTCAACAATGACACGTCCTCACTTCTTCAACTTTGGCTCATATACCTTGAAATTTAGATTACACCCTTAGCATGCAGCTAAATTTCTCTCTCAATGGATACAGGAGAGGGAACTACACTCAGCTAAGTCCCACGCTGCTGCTTAACACACATCGTTATAGGTAATCTACACCTGACATAAAACAGGCTCTCGATGCGGGTGCCTTACTCCGTCATACAATCCAGTACTCTTCCTAGCCTGGCATGCCCCGGCACATCTGGGGGTAGAACACCCTCCTGCTGTGACTGTCAGGGCAGTGATTCTCAGTGGTGGTGGGGAGATATTTGTTCCAGAAGCCCAGGGGAGTCTGATACCAACCCCAGACTGTATCCTTGCCCCTGCTGCATCCTGCAAGACCTGCTCCCAGACACCACAGCGTCCTGGCCCCCCGGGCCTCTGCCCCCTCCCTAACCACGGGCCTCCCTCACCTTCTTCTGCCCTACTCTCCATGTGCCTCCTGTCCACACCCTCCTGGGTTTTAGTCCACAGCATCTCCACCATGATGAGCGTATGTCTTTGCAGGGGACTCTGAAGGCTCTGGGTTTAGGAGCCCTGACTTTTCCCAGACCAACAGGTGCCTGTTTCCAGCTGTTCCTCAACCCAACCCTAACGGATCTGTGAAGGCCTCTTAAGGAGGGAACAACTGAATTGGGTCTTGTGGGACAGACACCAATATCAGCGCCCTGGAGAAGAGGAGAGCAGGGCCTTCAGGGGGAAGGCCAGGGTGCGTAACACAGGACGCAGAGGCAGGGAGCCCTGGCGTGTTGGCAAAATGTGTGACTGCTGGGGTAAGGAAGTGGGCGAGGCAAGAATGATGCCAGAGAAAATGCCACCCTGCCAGCTAAGAAGTAGCTACAAGAGGATCTAGTGATATGGCCAAGGCAGAAAATGTCCACAAACTAACATCTGGCCCCACTGGCAAAGTGCCTGTAGGAGTCACTGTGGGGATGTTAACACGCTCCAGGGCCTGCCTCTAGGGCAGCCCCACCCCTGCAGGACATGGCATGAGAGAGCAGGCAGGTGACGACTGTGATGGGCTCAGGGCGAGGCAGTGGGTCAGCATGGAGGTCACAGAAGGAGTTGAGCGGCATATACTGTCACCCGCCATGCCAGGCCCACACTGCCAACCGCTCCTGCTCTCAGTGCCCAGGCCTGCTCCTCCAGCTGCTCCAGGGAGGTCCTGGGGCTCCCGAGAATACTGAAGGGTTAACAGGACGGGGTAAGTGTGTGTGGAGGGGAAGGAGGGTGCAGAATGAGGCCAGGGAACTAGGCCCCAGGCAGATCCAGCAAGGCCAAGCTTGAGTCCCTCAATTCTCCCCTTTCCAGGCCACATGCCACTGGCACCCAAACTCCACCGGTCACCCTCTGCTGCATCTGCTTCCACGGGCGCCCTCCACTTGGGCTGCCTCCTGGAGACACGCCCTGGCCCCTTCCCCAGCCCAGAGTCTCCGGCTTTCCTCTCCAGCTTGTTCACACAATTCATCTCCCAAGTGTGCCATCTCAATCACAGCCAACCCCTGATCAAAACGCCCGCTCAGCGGCCATTCTGTGTGCGAACCCTTGATCTTGTACTCAAGGCCCCTGTGACGTGGCCCAACCTCGCGTCCAAGCGGGGCCCCTCTGAGCCCGTTCTCCCCCTAATCTGAGCCCAGGAAGAAAGCACTGAGTGTGTTCTCTTGCACCTCCTCGTGTCCAACACGGCACCAACATTTTAAAATGTATTCGATTTTTCTTTTCCTAATCCAAACAATCCTCATGAAGCAAATATTAGTATTTTCTTTATTTCTGGAACAAAGAAAGAAAGAAAAGAAACAGGTTTGGAAAAGTTAGGTTGCCCCAGGTTTTTTCACTTGCAGGGAGGGACTCGCTTCTTTCCCCACAACCTGAGACTTCTGCAGAGGTTTCACCTGGCGTGCTCTGCCGCTTTACCTGGAATGCCCTGTGCACCGTCACTTGCTAAATCTGCACCTCCTTCACGGCCCGGCGCCTCTCCTGCCGCCTCGGCTGAGGGTAATTATTCCCTCCACGCTGCCTTCGACCCACGCACCTGACACGTAGCTCCGGGTCGTTCCGCTGGCATTTCTGTTTCTTCTTCTTTCCTCATGTGAGACGGCAAGTTCCCTGACACAAGGACCTTTCCAAGGAGCATAGTGTGTGGCCTGCTCTCCCCACACGTGCTGGGTGCCGTGTCTATGCAGAACAGATGTGCAACCAGAGTTGAGTGAATGGCAGGTGCCCCCAGGCAATTCATGCAAACACGTGCTCTCGGCGCAATCCCGGGCAGGGCTGACAGCAGCAAACACCAGGAGAGCCCCCATCCCCTGTCTCATGGCTTGGAGCATTCTTGAGTGGGGGAAGCAGCAGAGGGCAGCAGACTCTGGATGATGGGGACAGAAAAGACAGTCTTGCCCTCTCAGAACCAGCGGCTTCTCTGTAGCAAGGGACAAGGGTCCCAGGCAAGATCTTGAGGATGCAGGGAACAGGCGATGCACTTACGTGAGGAGTGGGCACAGAACAAGCCCAGGACCAGGGCTTCGGAGAGCTGTCAGGTAGCCGTGAGCAAGTCCTCATTTCCCATATCTTCTGTTTCCTCCTCAGTGAAAGGGGCATCAGACAGTACCCGCCTCCCAGAGAGCTGGGAAGACGACATGAGACTGCGTCTGTAAGACACCACAGTCTAGCACAATGTGCGCAGCAAGTGTGGTCTGTGGTCAGCTGGGTGAATGTTCGGCAACAGGCTCTCCAAAAATAAGTAAGTAAATGAATAAAATGCCCTGGGCTGCAGAGTTTGCTGATGTCTAGGCTATAAACACTCCCACCACAGCCAATTGAAGCTGGCAATGTGATGTCACTGAGTTTGCGCCAGCTGGCTCCAGCACACCCTGCTTGTGGATCACAAAATACAGGAAGAACTTTGCCACTCTCTCCAACTCCCCGTAAACACAGGCAGACTTATTTTCTGGTGGGAAAATAAATTAACAACTGTGACTTCCAATGGGGCGCACAGGGGAGACAGAGACCTCAGGCACCCTTCCAGCGGGGCAGAGGCCTGCCTGCCTGCCCTGGCTCTGCAACACAGCATCGGGCGGGCTGAGTCACTGTGCTGGGGGACAGCCAAGCTCCCGGGGTGTAGGTGCTTGGAAAGAATCACAAGCCTGCTTGTTCTGAGAACCCTCTTCAGATGTGCAAGAAGATCCGCCTTCTGGCACCCTTCCCCAGGGAAGATTACTCATGGCTAGACAGCCTTTCAATTTTGGTCGGTTTTCACTTTCCAAGGATGTGAGGAACATCCTACATTTCTCCTCGTGATTCATTTCTGCTTTGTTTCTCTGCTTGCTTCATTCAGCCAGTATGGCAGAGCAACCTTTTCTTTACGATCAGTTACCTAAGTGATATCTGATTCCCATGGCAACAGGCTAGGCCAGCAGCCCTCCACCCAGCTCACCACCACCCTGAGATACCCAGCAATTATAACAGAGCTTCCTTCCTTCCACCTCTGCCTGAAACTTACCCACCAAGAGTGACCTCCCTTTCTAGAAAGTTCTAGAGGCAGGCATGCAGAGAAAAAATAGAAATGCAATTTCACTGGACAGAAGCAAAGGTCATCTTCCCCCTCTACAGACATATTTTGAGTGTCAAAATAGACAGGGTGAGCTCCATGTCTCTCTCAACAACAATATGCCAATCCAATTGAAGAGAAGATCTCTAGGCTTTGCCAGAGGAATTTTTGGAAGTATTGGCCTGACAAAGAAAACATGAACAAATCTTCACAATATTGTTTTAGAGCTCCTAGACGTGGTGTGGAACATGGGCAGGGTCCTCAGGACCTGTGAGCTAGGACATGGCCCTGTGGACCATACAAAAATCATGAAGCCATCTCTAAAGCAAACATGTTTTCTCCTTTCCCCATTAGAAGTAGCAGAGATAAAGAAAATTGCCACACAATCCTTGTGACTCGCTTTTCATGCTCACTGACTATGAACAAACACTTAAAACTGCATTGAAGATCTCTAGTAAAATCTGACATAAAAAAATTTAAAAACTGGAATAGTCCTATAAGTATTAAAGAAACTAAATATATATTTTGAAACCTTCCCACGTTGAAAACCTTTGGCCCAGAGAGCGTCACTGCAATTTTCTACCAAATATCTAAGAACTAAATCTTTCCGTTCTTCAACACCTCTTACAGATGATAGACAATGAAGATTCTCCCTGTGAGGAAGAGCTTAAATGCTCTTTAAACCTATTTCCTCTCACTAAACACAAAGGAATGTTACATACATTTTGCAGCCTCCCTGGCAGTTTGGTTGGAGCCATGGGACTAGATTCAAATTAATGGGATATGGGCAGAAATTATGTATAAAAATTCCAGACCAGGCCATAACACCTGACTCCATGTATTCTTTCCCTTTCCATGGCAACCTCAGAAACCACCCATTTCATGTGGGAACCTCACCAATGTGTTATACATAGTCTAGATCTCTCAGTCATCCCTATGATAAGAGAAGCTGCCTGAACTATTAATATATTGGACTGTGATGCAAGCCAGAATGAATTGTGCTAAGACATTTTGTTATACTTGTTACCAGACATGGCTTAGACTTAATCTGACAAGTATACACACTCCTAACATAATTTGTGAAATTGGCATAACTTTGATAACAAAATTTGATGAAATACATAGAAGAATGGAAAATTACAAGCCAAACTTACTTATAAATGTAGATGTAAAAATCCTAAATAAAATATTAGGAAAATGAATATATAGCAATGTTTTTCAAAGATAAACACTGTAACCTAACTGGGTTTCTTTAAGAAATGTAAAGTTGGTTTAACATTAGAAATATCAATGTAATTTGCCATATTAGCATATTAAAGTAGAAAAAACTATGATCATTTTCATAGATGTAGAAAAAGCAGTTAATAAAATATAGTGTCTATTCACCTTAAGAAAAAAAAAAAAAAAAAAACCTCAGCATCATAGGAATGAAGGAATTTCTTAACTTAATAATGGACATCTATGAAAAATATCAAACATCATCCTAAATGGAAAAACACTGAAAGATTTCCCTCTGAGGCAAGAAGCAAGATGAATAGGCCCACTGTATTAGTCAGCTCAGGTTGCCATAACAAAATACTATAGGTTGGGTGGCTTATATCAGAAATTTGTTTTCTTACAGTTCTGGAGGCTGGAAGTCCAAGGTCAGGGTGCCCACAGGGTGAGGTTCTGGGGAGGGCTCACTCTGGCTTGCAGGCTGCCACCTTTGCACTGTGTCCTCACATTGAGGGGAAGAGAGAGAGAGAAAGAGGCACAGATCTCGCTCGCTCTCTTCCTTTTCTTACAAGGCTAAAATCCTTTCAAATTAGGGCCCTACCCTATGACCTCATTTAGTCTCAATTACCTCCTAAAGACCCTATCTCCAGATACCTGCCACACTGGGGGATTACAGCTTCAACCTACAAATTTTTGGGGGGGGGGTCACAATTCAGTCCATAGTATCCTTTAACATTGCTTTTATTCAAATTGTACTGGAGGTATTTTTTAATGCATCATCAAGAGGGAGGAAAAAGCCCTAAAGATTATAACAAATAAACAAAATTCTGATTTTTTTCATAAATGATATGCTTGTGTACATAGAAATTTCAAGACAATTTATGCTTAAATTATTAGAATTAATAAAATGGCTCATAAATATAACTGTATTTAAAATCAATATACAAAATCATTTTCTCTATATAAGCAACATAAAGGTACACAACAAAAATTTATAAGATATCATTTAAAATATTTTTAAAATGTCAAGCACCTAGTAATAAATCTAACAAAAGGTGTCTATGGCTTTCCAATAAAAACATTGTTGAGATAAACTGAGAAAAAGAATGCTTAAGTAAATGGAGAGGCTATCATTTACATGGATTGGAAGATTCAATATTATAAAGATGTAACTGCTTTCCTAGTTAATCTTCAAATTCAACACAATCAAACTACCTGCAGTAATATTGTGTAAAATTTAAGACCCTGATCCAAAAATGTATATGGAAATGAAAAGAGTGAAGAGTAACCAAAATACTCTTGAAGAAGAAGTTGGAGAAGTGGATATAACAGATTTATTAAAAAGTAACAGGATTTAAAATAGTGTAGTATTTTACAAAGATGGTTAAATAGACCAAAGGGACAGAAATAGGAAGGCTAGAGATATCCACACACACTTTATGACTAAATGGCATGGTACTGAGGGAAGGGCTATCATTTTCTGATAGGAGAGCAACAGTGTTTAGAAAATGTAGCAGAAAAAAACGTACTATTCATGATAATACAGATGTTATGATAGGTAGTGATATATCTAATAAAAGAGACACAAGACATGTTAAAAAACAATATAAAACATTACTGAAGAAAAAACTAAATGGGAAGGTAGATATACTATGTTCATGAATAGGAAAACTCATGTCATAAAGTTGCCAATTATCCCCAAGTATCTTGTGATTTTGCTTTTGTGAAATCTAAGAACCTGACTTTCAAATATTAATAAATATGAAAGAATAGAGCTTCCAAGCAGTTCTGGAAAGGAGAAACAAAGATGGGTGTGACAAGTGCAAAAATATGATAGTGCACAGGGAGAAACAAATGGATCACTGGAGGAGAGCAGGAAGGCAGAAAGCATCTGAGGTACCTGCAAAGCCTGCTTGTGTGATTTAGGAGACTGTGGAAGTCAATGGTGATTATCAAAATCCATAGACAACACAAAGAGGGAACTTTAATGCATACATACAAATTTTTTTTTTTATTTTTATTTTTTTTATTTCGGCATATTATGGGGGTACAGATTTTAAGGTTTCAATAAATGCCATTTCCTCCCTCCCCCCACAAGTCTGAGTTTTCAGCATGACCATCCCTCAGATGGTGCACATGTCACTCGTTATGTATGTATATACCCGCCCCCTTTTCCCCTTCCCCCTCCCCCATACCCTATTACTGTAGTACCTATGTGTCCACTTAGGTGCTACTGAGTTAATACCAGTTTGCTAGTGAGTATATGTGGTGCTTGTTTTTCCATTCTTGGGATACTTCACTTAGTAGTATGGGTTCCAGCTCTAACCAGGAAAATATAAGATGTGCTATGTCACCATTGTTTCTTAGAGCTGAATAGTACTCCATGGTATACATATACCACATTTTATTAATCCATTCTTGGATTGATGGGCACTTGGGCTGTTTCCACAGCCTTTACATACAAAATTTTTAAAACCAGCCAAGAATTCAAGGGAACCCAGGATGGAATGTAGACAGTGTCACAGGAATCTAACTATATATAAATTCATGACATCACAACTAAAGGGCATGGGGGAAATGAGCTAACCTAAGTAACATCAGAAAACAATGTTTTCACTGAATTGTAAATCTAAAGACAAAAGGAATTGTGCATAAGCATTGTTCTAGTTGGTAAATTTGTTTCTCATGAAAGGATATTTATTATTCCGAAATTAGTGTCCATATACACTAGGTTTGAACAAATAAGTAAATAGATGGTGGCTAGTGGGATCCAGGTTTCTGGCTGTTGCAGAGGCAAGTTACAGATAAGCCAGAGGAGAAAGCTAGAATGAAATACATAGTACTGGATTGGAGTCAGAGACAACAGTGTGAATTCGTGTGTAGTTTAGTAAATATATGCATTAATAGATAAAGACACAATCATAGGTACATGCGTATTCACGGGTTAAGATATGCACAGCTACTTCCTAGCTCTAACCTCCAAGAGGAGCGACAAGCTGTGATGCCCCACAGCAACGAGCATGACCAGAGCCCATGTCTTGGATTCTAATATCACTCTAAATAGCAGGAACCAAGCTTCTTGTAGAGACAGTTGACCCTAGGGCTGCAACACGGAATAGACAAGATGGGTTTGGAGCATCTTACAGTGTCAAGAGGCCAGGAAGTGAAAAGGCAGGAAGGGGAAGAAGAGAATTGGGATGTGCCAGAGGGAATCAGGAGCCAACCCAAAAGAGCTCCCGATGGCCAAAGCTGAAACAATTGGAGCAACAAAAGAAATATGGTAGTACTGGATTATAATTTGAAGAATAAAATATTCAAGGGGCTATATTGTTACAAATAACTACAAGAAATACACAGGGAGAGGAGAGATAAAACTCTCCTCTAGAGAAGAATTTCAAATAACTTATGTAGTTACTTCCTCCTCCAAGAAGTGGAACTTAATATCCCCTCAACTCTGAACGTGGGCCACACTTAACTGAACTGCTTCTAGAAAGTAGAATATGGGAAAGAGGCATAAGGACTTTCACACTGGAGAAACCTGGCAAACACTACCTGACCCAGAGAACAAGGTTAACATCACCCATGGTTAAGTCATGTCCACAGCGTGCAAACCCAATTGGATATGGGGAGAATAGCATCTCTCTTCGCTATGGTCTTCCTCCCCAAAACCCATAAACTCAGTCTAACCATGAAAAAAAAAATAGGTAAACCCAAATTCAGGGACATTCTACATTAATACCTGACCAATATGCTTCAAAAATGCCAAGGTCTTGAAAAACAAGGAAAGTTCGGGAAACTGTCACAGACCATAAGGAAGTAAGGAGAGATGATGTCTACGTGTAATATGGTATCCTGGATGGTCCTGGAACAGAAGGATGGGAACTGGTGAAATCCACATAAACTGTGGGGGTTAGTTGATAGTAATATACTAATTTGGATTGTAGTCATGACGATATTACCATTGTAATATAGGATGCTGACAATAGTGAGTGAGGGGTATGTGGGAACACTCTGTATGTTCTGTGCAACTTCTCTGTAAATGTAAACTGCCACATTCTAAATAAAATATTTATTTAAAAAATCAGAGGAGAAATCAAGGACTCTCCAATAAATGGCATTGTAAAAATTGTTTATCCATATAGGTTAAATGATATTCTCCAAATTAAATTCAAGATGGATAAAAGATCAACATGTGAAAATCAATACTGTACAATTTTTTAAATAAATTATATGACCTGGAGTTAGGGATGATATTTTTAAAGAACACACAAATAAAACAAACCCTAAAGGGAATAATTTATAGAGTTGACTCTATTAATATTAAAATCTTCTCACAAGAAATACACTGTAAAGAAAACAACATAATTAGCCACAGACAGGAAGACAATGTTTATGTACATGCAAATGTAAGATAAATGTAAGACTGATAATATTAAAACAAATAATGCAATTCAACAAGAACAAAAAATATGAATAGGAAATGTCCAAAAGAAGTCCAAATGGAAATAAAATTGTGAAAAAATGCGTAGCCTCACTTGCAATCAGGAAACTGCAAATCAATATAAGATGGCATGTGATACCCATCAGATTTTCATAACTGAAAGTGTGAAATCATCAAATATTCACAACACTGATAAACAATGTGTACTCTTATACACAGCTATTGGCAATGTAAATTTTCAAAACCACATTAGAGAGCAATTTGGCAATATCTAATAAGATTCAATGGGCCCATACCAATGAGCCAGCAAATCTATTTCAAGGTATGTATCCCAAGGAACGCATCCATGTGTCCACAAGATATATATAGGAGTCCACACTGTAGCACTGTTGACATTGGCATCCTGACAAAATACCGAATCAATCCAAATGTCAGTAGAGGGATAGATAAACATAATATGGTCGTATGGTCACAATATACTTCACTATATGGCACCTAAATAAATGGACTAGACTTATATGTATCAATAATAATTGTAAAAAGCAATACATAGATGGTTTTCTATTTACATATATTTTGAAGAAAATAAAAGTAATATAATGAATGTTAAATATATTAAAGATATAAGGCTATCAAAGACAATAAGATATTAAAAATATTAAAATATTAAAAATAATCCTATATTTTATTTAGTAGCATATTATCTATGGTAAAATTGAGAGACAGGGAGAGACAGAGAGACAGAGAGAGGGAGAGAGAAACTCAATATACTCTGAATCATGTCAATAAATGCCTGAGGGCAAAACAGAAAAAAATATAACTGGGTATAACTTCAAATGTGTAATTAACTGTATCTATTTAATGTAAGATTTTATTTCACAAAACATAATTTGAAGCAAACTGATTAAGCAACATTTGTTACATGTGGATGGTGATGCATAAGTGTTTGTTATATTATTTTTTAAAAATTTTCACATGTTTAAATGTTTGGTACAAAAACTAAGATAGTTAATGAAATGTAAACTATGACAAAAATATAAGTATTGAGGAATCCCTGAATCCATTTATATATAGAACTAATATTTAGCAACTCTGGGTAACTATAGTTATGGAAAAGGAATATAAATTAATAATTTTTTGCAATGTAAGGATGTCTAATAAAAAAATGAAAAGTAGTGGTTAGGAAAATAGGAGGATATTTGCCTGTGATAATCTTATCTCCCATAGTAGAGATTCAAAATGTGAAGCAAGTAGATAAAAGTACTCCAACTTCTTCAGTTTTTTTAGATTTGACTATGTAACTACAGAAAGATAATGTAGGAACTAATACTTTCTGTATTAAAGAAATATATATCAAAATTCAGCAGTACCTGTACTTTTACTTATAGTCATTTTTCCTCAAAGTCAAGTAAAAAGGAATGTAATGATTTTTACTAAAAATACATTTATCATATGATTTCTTTTTTTTCCTAGATTACCTCTATCCATCCATAAAGAGGCAGAGCCAGAAACCTAAAATGGTTTTCTCCAAATAGAAAACATTGATTATCTGGGAAAAGGGAATAAATGTTGGTGATTATTTTTTATTTTTTGAATTTAAACTTTTATGGTAAGAATAAGAAATATGATTAATAACAAAAATAAATACATCTATTATTATTGTAAAACGAATAAGGCAATAAGAATAAAGTACAACATGGTAGAAGCAGACAGCATGTGATGAGATTTTAAACAGAGGACAAAGTTGGAAAAGTTCAGGAGAGGACAAAGAGAGAGGACAAAGTTGGAAAAGTTCAGGAACAATTCAAGGAAGAGCAGGCTTTAACCAGACCCAGAGGAAACGTGAAGCGAGAAAGTTTAAAAAGAACTGAAGGAATGAATGCATGTTGGGGGCGGTGCAGGGAACTAATCTGAAAATACCTGGTTTGCAGACAGCGACATGACTATGTTTAAAAGCATAGGGAATAGGGCACATTAATGACATGATTCAGCAGAGGGAGCTGGCCAGTAATACTGAGACAAGTGTTGTGGAAGCACAAAGATACAAGGTTGCTCAGAGGCTGGTGGGTCATAAAGGATTCACAGAGGATGGAGCATCGGAGTGGATTCTCGGATGGAAAACGAGAGTTTTCCAGGAAGATGAAGGGAGTAAAGTATTCTAGGACAGAAAAATAAAATAACAACAAAAGCACAGAAAGGAGACACCTGCTGTGATTCACACCCGGGTGTGGAGAGGGACTGGAGAAGGGGGAGCTCGAAGGCCGGCCAGGGCTTTCAGTGGCTGCTGAGGCGCTTGGACTCTTTAGGTAGGGACAGTGACAGACTTTCTCTCAGGGAGGAGGGGTGGGTGCTGGGAAATCATGGGGTCAGACTAGTCTTTCACAAAGGCACTCAGAAGGTATCGGGTGAAAGAAAAGCAGAGAAGGATAGGTTTAGACACATCCAAGAGCAGGGAGGAAGCCGTCCAGGGTGTGAGCATCTGCTCCAAAAGTAAAGGGAGGAGGGGAAGATTTTGAGGAGTATTTATGAGGCATTCTGAATCTCTAGGTGGTAAGTGATGCCCTGTGGAAATGAGGCCAGGCTGGGGTTGAGGGTGACTGAGTGGCCACGATAGTGATGCTCTTCAGCTAATGTTGGTAGGATGGTTTGGGGTCCAGCTGATGAGCTCAGGGTTGAACAAGTGCAGTTTAGGGGCCTGGTCTGGACTAGAGCCCCACATGGCACACCCTCAGCATCTGGTGGTAATGGAAGTCTTCACCACGGGTGACATGCCCAGGAAGGGCAGGGAGTGAGCTGAACAGTGAGAAGGATGTATAAGCCTCGAAATACGCCAAGTCAGGCATCCCCTATCCTGTACTTAAGTGGCTGATCATTTTTAGGCAGCCTGTCATATTTCATTTATCCATTTGTTGGTTTCAGCACTTTGGTCCACCTTGTTGACAACATTTTGAATTTTGATTCTATCAGTCAACATATTAGCCATCCCAGGCTTTCCAGTTTAAATGCTTTCTGTCTAGCACCCGCTACTCTCCCAACTTCCTGATAAAATAGCCATAGAAAACGATAACATATCACACCATCACTCAACACTTACAACTTTGTAAAATAGCAAATGTGCCATTTCCTTACAAGCATTTTTTTGGAACTGGTACAGAAAAGCCAAGAAGAAAAGAACCAGACCTGAAGAGTCAATAGGATAATATGTGAAGGGAAATGGTTAATAAAATGAAGAATTGCAGGGGAAAAATTGAAATTGCTCAAATGAAATCCACATGGAGAGCAGAGAAAATAGAATAAGTTGTATAAAGGACATACTTCAAAAGCTGGCTCTGAATCCACAGTAAGAGAACAAAGAAATGAAATGAAAGTGAAAAGAAAAAGACAATAGTTACAGAGGCCAGGGAGCGGAGTGCCACCCTTACAATATAGGACTCGTTGAGATACACGCAAATGACTACAGTAGATGTGATAACCAAAGTTATAATTAAAAAGAAATCCTCAAATACAACAACAAATAAAAACCCCAATGAAAGAGACACATATTATTTGTATACATGCTAACAAAAATCTGTCATATATATCCTACAGGAATATTAACAAAAATGGAGGTGGGAGGGAGACAAAGGAAGAAAAATAAAGCAAATCATTTCTCTCCTGCGCAGTCCTACATGCTAGAGAATATAAACTTAGATTCAACCAGTCAAGTTATCCTTCTTATATGAAGAACCAGAAATGAAACAAAGCTGCAGAAATGTAGGAGTTTAGAAAAGAAAATGCCTGTGTTCTCTTGCTAAAATAGTTATTGAAAACACAATTCAACCAGTCAAGAGTAAAATTGATAGCAAGAACCTAAATACAGAGAAACTGTATATAAAATGATTCTCAGATTTTCCAAAAGCACTATCAGCAGGAACAACACCCATCTTATCAAAATTATTTTAAGGAGAAAGGTTTTAGCACATCACCCCTATTTGAACTGGCCACGATTTAAATCTGCAATAAAATAATTATACTTTGAAATGTAATCTCATATTTTTGTACTTTTCTTTTTACATTTTTTCTTTTATTTGTCTAGATTTAATTGTTTTCTAATCAGTATATATTTTAATAATAAACTTTATGTAAAACATATGTCCTTCAAATTTTATATCATCTGTGAAATTGATTAGTATATCTTTGCTATCTGAATATAAATCTTTGATTATTGTTGAAAATAATGGTTCCAAGGTTAGAGCTTTATGACATTCAACTAAGCAACCATCTGCCAAGTTAACCCAAAATTTATTTTATGAATGTGCTAGGACTGTTTCCCCAATTGTAAATCTATTTAAACATGTATCACATTTTCCTACCTATCCATAAGATTACTATGTAAGACCATCAAATGCACTGCTGAAATCAACATACCCAATGTATACAGAGTTATTCTGATTTACCAACCTAGTTAGTCTATAGAAAATAAAGAAAAACAAATTGAAAGAGGTTAGCATAACCCAACATGATTTGTTCTTGGGGAATTGGTACTGTCTCCTATGGATCAGTTTTCTTTTCTAAGTATTCACACATCTCCTTTCAAATAAATCATTTGTAAATGTTGCCATAGTTGCACATCAAACTCACTGGCGTATCAAATCAAAAATTCAATAATTCAACTGCTTTTCAAAAAGTTAGATATTTCACTGTCTCTAATACTCTGATACCAGTTTGATTTTCAAATGTCAGTAGTTTGCAGGTATACATTATATCTCCAAATTATTCCAATGTCTTGGAATCGTTTTCTAATTGAATCTCAAAGCAGCTTTTAAAAGTCACCAAGGGAATGATAGATTTATTTAATTATTGAGGACCAACTGAATGCCAACACCATGTTGGCTCTTACGATATCCAATTTCAGTAACTGACATAATCCACTATTGAACTGGTAGGATTGTGTCTATTTTGGAGGTGAGAAAGCTTAAGACTCAGATCCATAAGTGACCATCTAAAATGACACAGCCAGCAGGCCACTGTGCTAGCACAAAGATAGAACCAATGATTTTTACGGCAGCAGTGATTCCGCTTTAGTTTATTGCCTGTTAGCGCCACCCAGTATTACCTAAGCGTTGACCTTCTCTTCTACTAGGGTTTAACAATCAAATCTGCCAAAACTTTACTTCTGCTTTCTTTAGCATTTTTCCCTCATTGAAGTGTATTCTGTCACTTGGCCCTACTAGCATGTGCTTTTGAGGGGATACCCTGATTTGTCTTAGTGCCCTGTGTACTAACCTTCTAACTTCTGCACTTGTCTTTTAGCCATCTAAACCCCGCTCCCCCATGCAGAGCCCCTGGGCGTCTGCCTGCTGTCCCCTCCTCCCTACCACTTGTAATTAGACTGCTACCATTTCATTATTTAAAGACTTTCCTGGCCAGCCCGGTGGCTCACGCTTGTAATCCTAGCACTCTGGGAGGCCGAGGTGGGAGGACTGCTTGAGCTCAGGAGTTCGACACCAGCCTGAGCAAGAGTGAAACCCTGTCTCTACCAAAATGAAAAAAAAGAAAAGAAAACAAGCTGGGTGCTGTGGTGCTCACTTGTAGTGCCAGCTACCCTGGAGGCGGAGGCAAAAGAATCGCTTGAGCTAGGAGTTGAGGCTGCAGTGAGCTATGATGACGCCACTACACTCTACCCTGGGCAACAGAGTGAGACTCTTGTCTTAACAACAACAACAACAACAACAACAAGAAAAAGTAACTGAGCACCATTCCTTACAACCCCCACCCCTTCATGTAAAAAAAAAAAAAAAAAGACTTTCCCCTCTGGAACCACAGCCTGGGACCTCACAATGTGTTCCCTTTTCTGAAATTGCTGGGACTCTGCTTTCCTGTCAGCTGAGCTGTCAGGTCATGCCCTGCTCCGTCTTTTATTTCTACATTAAATTTAACGTCTACTACATTGCATTTCAAATTTCTTTCTCCCAAACTTCCCATTACTAGCATTATCAGCAAATTATTTTCTTTACCACATTTTTAAAATGTAAACAGGTCCACATAGCCCCAAATGTGCCCTAAATATTCTGACTGTTTTCCAAGACACTTGCCCAGGGCTTGTTCAGAGATAGATGGGTCCAGAGTTACCAAATACCAAAAGCAACGACCAGGTCACCTAAACCACCTTGTTTCCACTTCAGAGGATTCTGGAAAAAGAGTCCCCTTGCAACTGGCTGTGCTCACTTCCAGCTGTCCCTGTGTCCCTTTCAATAGTTCCACATCACACTGTGCAGAGAGCTGCTTTTGAGGCAGCTCATTCTCGACAGCTGCGATGCTTCTCCTGGTTCCACCGTCAGCTCCGTTTGTGCCACTTGCTCTCCGCACCTGCCCTTTTCTTCTCCTGGCTTGCAAAGCCCATTTTTACTATCCTATAGGACTGACTCTAGATGGCCTGAGTCTCGCAAGCTCTGTTGTCCATTCATTCATGAATTTACTCAACCTCTACTAAGTGCTAAGCTAAGTGTCAAGCCCTCTGCTTAGCATGGAGAATCCTAATACAAATGGGACATGGTTTCTACCCAAAAAGAAGTCACAGTCCAATGAAAGAGAGAACTTATAAATG